ATAGAATAAATACTCAGTAAAAAATTACCTAATTGCAGTTATAATGGGACAAAATTATTGTCCTCCCTCAAAAATGACAGTGTAGTGTAGAGGTTAAAGATGCAGTTTCTGAAGTCAGACTGCCTGGGTTGGAATTTCGACACTGCTATTCATTACCTGTGAGAACTTGGGTAAATCGCTTAATCTCTCTTGGCCTAGGTTTTCTATTAAATGAAGATAATAACATCTAGTACCTAGCTATCTAATAGATTTTCAATAAACATTTTTTTTTTCTTTTTTGGGGAGGTTTCAGCTATAGGGCGCGTGCGCTCACCAGACAGAGAGAGACAGAGAGAACAGAAAGCGAGAAATCAACCCCCATGGAGGATGGCCACGCCGCAATCCCTTCTCCTCCATTCTCCTCTTGGGATCTCGGGCACGCACGTACATGCACCCGGCGTGAGTTTAAGCCACGGGGTCCGAGACGCAAACCATAGTCGACTACGGGGGAGTCCAGCGACATAGCCATTACTCTAACTGCTGGTCCCAATAAACATTTTATAAATTAGAAAATAGTGGCTGATAAAGGGATATGATGACAAAGGGGTACCTGTGTGTGTGTGTGTGTGTGTGTGTGTGTGTGTGTGTGCGTGCGCACGCACATGTGTTAGGGCGCTACACAAAGCACATTTGACTTCAGACACCTTCTACTTAGCTGGGGGCTTGGTGTGGCTGCCTCCCTTGCTTGTGAGCATGTCCTTGTACCTTTGAGTCCATCTCCATCAGCTCTCCAGTTTTACTACTTATGGATTTTTACCGGTCTCACTGTTTGCATTCTGTTCTACGCTGGCTTTGTTCAAGCATACTTCCATCTTCATCCCTGCCGCCTCAACCAAAAATATGTTTAATTGGCTTTGCACAGAGTCTGGGGATTTCGTGACAGGAGGGGTGGGGGTGGTCCCATGTCACACCACCTCAGAGCTGCTACATTACCTTAAATTGATTTTGCAAATGAAAGCTAAAAGCTAAGCAAAGGCGACCCATCCATTTTGCCTAAAGATGATTATAATGCTCTTTTACAGCCTCCTAAATGACAAAGCAATTTGTTACCTGCCTGCATCAACATTTGCTTATATTAGCACCCGAGATGCTTGATTTTTATTAGCCCCGCGTTATCATTTTATTAAGACGCAGGGGCTCAGTAAAATTAGTGTGCAAATAGAATGCCCATTTTGCATTTCTCTGTGGTCAGCAGAAATGCTGAATGCAATTGAGTTGATACCGGGTCAGGGGAGACATCCATAAAGTCAGCCTTCACTGAGGGCCTCAGTCATGCCATTTATCATTTCCGGACTGCTAGGGTAGATAGGGCCAGTGTTAGTATTTTTTTTTTTTGAAGGGTTAGGTGGTATTTTCTTTTCTTTTTTTTTTTTTAAGTGAAAAAGCACTATAAATACTAAGACAGCTCCATTTCCATCAGCAATAATAATGGAAACAAACTCTCGTGTGTACATTGTACTGGGTCATTGGAAAAGTCATGACTTATTTTTCTATGCAAAAATGTGTCATGACTTTTCTGATGACCCAGTACATAAAAGTACAGTCCATCTGGGCTCCTCTCTTGTGCTTAGTGGATCCAGAAGGAGGTATATGGGGTAGGGAAAGGGCACTGTTTGCAAGCCAGGGCTTGACTCTACCACTACTAGCTGTATAATCTTGGACCTGCCCCTTCCTCAGTGCCCTCACTTGTAAAATGGGGTTAATATTATCTACCTCAAAGAGACATGATGAAAATTAAATGAGATAATACATGTCTAAATTTCTTGATAAACCACAATCTATACAAGTCTTTCTACTTGTTAATTCAACAGTCAATTCCCAAGCACCTACTCCACACAGAGTCCTAGGAAAGACATTAGAGGTATACTTGAAAAGTCACAGTTTCTACCTTGAGGAGCTTAGATTCAGACCAGGAAATACCCAGTTGTCTGGCTCCTGTTTTAAACCATAAGCTTCTTCAGGATGGGTGTGACTTCTTTCTTTTCCTTTGTTCCTATAGGTGTCTAGCATAGAGCTGAGAATAGGACGAATTCTCAAGAATGTATTTTGAGGCCCACCACACAGCGAAATGGTTAAGGGAGCTGGATCCCACGTGACTGACTATAGTTCAGAATCCCAACCCCAACAGCTAGAAAAAGAAGCCGAGCCTATATGTGTGGGCACTCAAAATATTATAGGATAGAAAACTGGAAGAGAAGGGATTGCAGCATGACCATGCCCCATTGAAGGGTGTTTTCTCCCCCATTTTTATCTCTCTGTCTCTCTGGCTAGTGCACATTCCCTCTAGTAACTGAAAAAAAAAGAGAGAGAGAATGTATTTTGGATTCATCATATTTCCCTTTTGTAATGCAATAAAGTACATGTGTGGATGAAAGAAAGAGTGAGCACCCACAATGGGGCCCAATCATGCCACAATCCTTTTTCCTCAGATTATCCATCTTGTCAGGATCCTGCACATGTGCACCTGGCATAAAGCCAACAGAGCTGGAACTCGAACCCTGGTGGGCCATGTGGGATCCAGCTTTCTCTGCAAAGTACCTAACCACTGTGCTTTGGGAATAGCTCCCTTTATATATCTTGCTGCCTTTCAGGAGAAGTAGTGATTCCAGTCCCTACTGGTCACCCTAGTGGATCAAGCAAGTCCCAAGCCTTTAAAACCTGTTTAGCAGAGTTAATCTTTTTTTGCCTTAATCTCTGACATTGGTGCATTCACTGCTGTGATGATGAACTGCATAGTCTGAGAATTATTTATGTACCCTCTTCCTCAGGTGTTCCTCTAACACAGGTAGAAGCCCTTAATCCAACTCCTGTCAATGTTCCTCCCTAAATTTTTTTTTTTCTATTTTTGGAGAGGTTTTTGCTATAGGGCACGTGCGCTTGCCAGAAAGACAGAGAGAAACAGAGAGACAGAAGGTGAGAAATCACCCTCTAAGGGAAATGGCCATGCTGCAATCCCTTCTTCTCCAGTCTCCTCTCGGGATCTTGGGCACGCATATACACGCGCCTAGCTTGACTTTAAGCTGCTGAGTCCGGGAATCGAATCACATTTGACTATATGGGAGTCCAGCGACATAGCCATTATGCTAACTGCTGGTCCCCCTAAAATTTTTTCAATTTGTTGTGTTCTGTGTTAGTCAGCCCTTCCTCTGCCTGTGCAGAATATCCTCTCCCTGACCTTTTCTCCACCATTCTTTTTTTTTTTTAATTTTTTTTTTTTTTGGAGAGGTTTTCGCTATAGGGCGCGTGCACTCACCAGACAGACAGAGAGAGACATAGAGACAGAAAGCGAGAAATCACCCCCCAGGGGGGATGGTCACGCCACAATCCCTTCTCCTCCATTCTCCTCTCGGGATCTTGGGCACACACGCACATGCGCCTGGTGTGAGCTTTTTAAGCCATCAGGTCCGGGATGTGAACCGTGGTCGACTACGTGGGAGTCCAGCGACATAGCCATTACGCTAACTGCTGGTTCCCTCTCCACCATTCTTGATGACTGTTTTTGTCTAATAATATATTTGCAAAACAGCTAAACATTATTAAGCAAGTTAGATTTCTTATATAAGAGTTTGGGTTCTGATTTGGGGTCCATAGTTTTCAACTTGTCTGTATGCTGGATATTGAAAATTATATATTGTTGAGTATTTGGACTTTTTTTTTGTCTTTCTTTAAAGAGGGTTAGGTTTTGTAAAGCAAGCAGTTTTGTTTATTTTTTAGTTCAGTCTGATCCTTTTGAGAGTTATTTTAAAGCTTTGTTAGCGAGTTAGGGAGTCTAGAATAGTTTAACCCCACCACTACAACATTGTTCTTCGGATTTCTCATTTCCCTGGATAATCAGTAAAGACTTCCACTGTGATGGTGGGAATCTAAATGATTCCTATTGCTGTCTAACCCTGAGAATTGTGTGGCTCACAACTCCCTGGTCCATTTTTTTCTCACATCTTGGAGAGTCACTCTATGAATGCACATCGTACAATCTAATAAAATCTCAAGAAGACTCCCTTACAGATTTCAGAAACTCTTTTTGACAGAACTTCCTCCTCTCTGGAATTCAGTTCTTCCCCAACTACCACCTGGTAAATGTGAATTTCAGTGGGATACCCCTCTCTGTTCTTTGACTGGAAATGGACTGTCAGACAAAAAGCCAGGGTAATCATAAGGCATACCTCATTTGTGTTTTTCCTCTCATGGATTTATCTTGTACTGCCTGTTGTCCAATGTCTGTTGTTTGGTATATTTTTTCTGATTTCCTGGGTTTTTAAGATGAAAGGGCAGTGTAGTGTGTGCTCCTTTATTAAGGTCAAAGTTGTGGGTTGTAATTTCAGTTCCTATTCCTATCTATTAGCTGTGTGGCCCTGAACAAGTTATATAACTTCTCTGAGCCTTGGCGTCTGCCTCTACAAAAAGAGCATTAACTGGAAGGACTATAAATATGTGTATAATATGCCTGACACAAAAGGAGTTAGTTAAGTGCCAGCTGCTACTATTACTAATATAAATACCTAATTTCTTTATTCCATCTTTTACTGAATGTTTACTATGTCCTAGGCAATGTGCAAGCATGTTTAATCATCACAACAACACTATAAAATAGATATTATTGTCTTCATTTACAGGTTAGGAAATTGAAATGCAGAAAGGACACTCAACTTGCTTAGGCTCATAGTCAGTAGATCTGGGATTCACCTTCACTCATATAGCTTCTTCAGATAATTATAAATATTACACATTAACATAATATGACCAGTTGCACCAAGGAAAGGGAATGTAGTCTTTTAATACTGAATAGTTAGGGTCATAATTTAATTAGTAAGCAATGGCTGGACCTTCATGGCTGAAACTCAATGATTTAAGAGACAAGGGGTAAAGCATCCAGCTCATTCCCTGTCCCCATTACACACACCAACTCCTCATCTCAGCTTTCTTTGCCCTCCTTAGAAACCTTTTTCCATTTTGTCTTACAGACAATCTGCGGGAAGGGGCAGAGCAGAAGGTGATATTCATCACTGGACGAGTCCACCCAGGGGAAACACCCTCTTCATTTGTATGCCAAGGTGAGCTGCATAGGTGTCCTATGCTTAGCCCCCATCCGCACATCAAACTGCAACACTATGATGATCTCTGTGTGATCACACGAAGTCATTATCTTGAATGGAAATTTACTCACTTATTTAAAGAGGATGCACCTGATCTCTATTTGGTTTTATTTCAATAAATGTTTATTGACTAGGTGTATGGATGGTGAATTAGATGGATGAATTAGGAGAGTGGATGGATGAATTAATGGATGAATAAACAAATAGGTAAGGTTGAATGAAATTCTCTCAAGTGTGCCAATATTGAGGGGGAGAAGGAGTTACAGAGTAATCTACCCTCCCCAGGGTTACTTGTTTCCAGTGGTTTACAACCACAAGATATCTAGCCCCAAGTCAGATATTGGTATATTGATGGGTCTGTTAAATGGAAAATAAGGACTGAAAATGACCTATTCATTCATTCATTAAAACATTCAATCAACAAATAACTTGAAATACCTACTATGACCAAAGAAGCATGCTTGGCATCAGACAAGACATCATTTCTTCTTATAACTGAATTATGAATTATCTATTTATTTATTAAGTAATTAACTTTTACAAATATATGTTTAATTAGACAGCTATAGTCAGCAATATAAATATATCTAATAAGTAGAATATAAATAATGATACAGAGAATACCTAGGTACCATTTCAAGAAAGAATATTATCCATTCCTTTTAAGGTCTTTGATGTTCTCCTTTCTACCTTCCTCCTCCCACAGACAATTATCAGCCTGAATTTGTTTGTCGTTCACTAGTTTTTAAACATTACAGTTTAATAACAATATATTTTTAGTTTTACATGGTTTTGAACTTTATAAAAATTATTTAATTCTGTATGCATAGAGCCTTACGTCCAGTGTCCATGTTGGTGAATATAGATGCTGTTCACTTGTTTTTACTTCTACATTGTATCCATATCTGTCCATAGCTCAGTTTACTTACTTATCTATTCTCCTGATGTTGGGTAATTAAGTTGTTTATAGTATTTTTTTCTTAAAAACAATGCTGCTAAAGACATTTGTATACATATTATCTATTTTACATGTATAAATATTTTTCTAGGACATAAAACTTAGGAATGAAATTGCTCGGTCATATTAAAGTCAAATTCAACTTTTTTAGATATTTCTAAGTTTCTCTCTAAAACAATCTTTACACTGCTATCAGTGATATATGAGTTCCTATTCTACCACATGCTTACCAATAGTTTTTCATTTTTTATCTATATAGTAGGTATATTAGATGTAAAAAATTATATATATGTATATACAGTCATCAGAAAAATCGTGACACATTTTTGCATAGAAAAAATATGTCATAACTTTTCCAGTGATCCAATACACACACACTATGCACAGTTTTAAGCATTTTACTCCATCAATCAATTTATTATTATTATTTTAATTATCTTGATTTTCTATGTCACAGAAACTAATAGTAACTAAATTTTTACATGTGAGAAAACTGAAGCTTGGAGAAAGTTAAGTAATGTATCTTATTTAATCTCAAGATGACTTTGAAGTCAAGAGGCTGTAAAAAGCCTGAGAGAGCTATGAGACTTGAGGCAGGCATCATGCCCCAGTCCAAGTATCCAGGATTGGGAATCAGACAATCCTGAGGTCAAATACTGGCCTTGCCACCTCCTAGCAGGGTGACTTTGATTTCCTTGAGTGTAAAATTGGGATAACAATGCTATCTAGGAGGGCTGCTGTGTAAACAGAACATCCAGTCCTGTGCCTGACCCAGGAGGCCTTCAACAGATGTCATATCCCCCCCCCATGGGGCTCTGAGAAGATGAAGCAGGAACGTGCTTTGTAAACTATCAAGCACTGTACATTTCACTATGGGCTTTATGACCCCACTTCATATCCTCACAATGTCATGATTAGGTATGATCAGCTCCCTTTTTATCAGTTGAAGAAACTGCTAAGTTTGAGAGTGAGAAGCGACTTGCCCAGAGCAGCTAGTTAGGGGCATGGCTGAGACTCCAGTCACTGTCGCTGATTCCTTAGCATGCTCACTTCTGGCCTTTTCCTTCCCCAGAATTATCCTTGCAATAACCTCTCTCAGGTCCCTCCTGAGTTTACCAATCCCTTTACTTGCAGCCATCTGTCAGTTACTAAACTTGGCAGCAGAGCTGTTCCTCCAGCTGATTGGATATAACTGTTTCGTCCTTATTTGTGGAAGGACAGTAGCCTTGACACCAATACCTTCATCTCCAGGAGATGAAAGCCCCGTGCACACCTCTATGGGCAGGGACTAGAGAGCAGGACGGCCATCCCATTTTACAGACCAGGAGTGAGGGGAAGGAGGTGAGCCTCAGATGTTTTCTCTAAAGACCCCATTCCTAAATAGGAATCTGGGTGGTGTTGATAACTCTCAGTGCTGTCCTGTAGATTTTCCTTGGAAGAGCCTTTTAGTGCCTTCCCACTACCTTCTCTGAACTCCTTGGTGTGACATTCACAGCCCTCCATAATTGGGTTCTTTCCAGATTCCCTGGCCTCAGCCTCATTATACCTCAGCCCCACACAGCTTAATCCCTGAAGGGGCAGTCTTCTCCTCACCATTGGGCCTTTGTACCTGCTGTTCCCTCTGCCTCAGAGGTTTTGCACCCTCTCTTTGCCACCTGGAATGCACCTCCTGTCTCCCAAGGCTCCTTTCAGGTGTTCCCACTGTGGGCCTCCTTTGCCCAATCCCTCCAGCCCCTTGCTTTTGTGCCTACATCATGGGACCATCATGAAAAAAAAATGAAAGAAAGAAAAAAAGAAAGGAAGAAAGTAAGGAAGGAAGAAAGGAAGGAAGGAAGGAAGGAAGGGGTAAGAAGAAAGAGAGAAGAATGAGAAAGAAAGAAAGAAAGAAAGAAAGAAAGAAAGAAAGAAAGAAAGAAAGAAAAAAAGAAAGAAAGAAAAGGGAAAATGCTGACTCTTTATATATTTGATTTATACTTGTCTTCCCCCCTTTCAACCATAGCAATTTAAAGTCTAGGACTGGGTTTCCACTGTCATTTTCTACATCTGTAAAATGTGATTAAATTGCTCATTTTAAGGGGCCATTGTGCAGAACAAATGCTGTATTGGCTCTGGTATGCTAAAACTGAGTCAGAAAGAAGAACCTTAATGTCACACAACTAGTAAATAGAAGAGAGCCTTTGGACATAGGCTTGGCCAACTCCAAAGCCCATACGCATTATTCCACCCAGGGATGTGAACATTACAAGGCCAAGCTTTATACCTGGAAGAATATAGAGTTCCAACCACCCTACAACAATTGATGTGCCTGTTAGAAACATGGTTGTGGAGACTCAGGGAAGTTAAATGACTTACCTACAGTCACATGGCTGGTCTCCTACAGATGTGGATAGACCTGAAATCTAGCTCCCTAATCTTGTGCCTCTTCTTTCCCTGCCTCTTCTTTTTCTGCCTCTTGAGACACAATTTACCCTTCTTTGGGGCAGCATAAGGCAGGCATCATTACCCCATTTAATCAATAAGGGAGTGACGTGCAGTCTCACTTGAGGGGCTCTCAGTTACATGGAGACAGCCCAGATCACTGCTCCACAGAGTACACCTGGGGGTTCTTCCCTATTCATAGGGATTCATTGGTCCCCTACCCCAGTCCATCTTGTTCTGGGGACAGCAGGCAGGTCTAAAGCCTGGGAGGATGATGGCTGAGATATCTTGGATTCTGTTAACTCCTCCCTATTAACTGGCTCAGTGACCTTGAGCAAGGAACAGGCATGTGCAGCCTGGCTGTCCCCATCTGGCTGGGACCTCAGTTCTCACCACCGAGCTGCCGATGCACCTGCTGCTGGGAGTAAAATGAAGTCACATCATCACTGAGCTCTGGAAGGAATGGCATTAAGAGCAGCAGGACTCTGATTTCCTCAGGACTCTGCTTGGAGGGAGGATGGCAGACTGGAAGTCCCTCCTTTGCTGCTCTAAACCTCACTCATAGCCTCAGTGAGGCCAAACTATCCTTGTTGTTCAGCTACAATGATGTTGTCCCTTGCAAATCTCTGGAGCTTAACTGCCTGGCATTGAATCCCAGCTTTCTACTTATTACAATGAGATCATGGACATGCCACCTAACCTCCACACCACAGTTCCTTTATCACAAAAGGCCTCTGAGTAAGTGTTGGTGTAAGGGGAGAAGTTAACACTAGTGGAGTTGCAGGTACCAGGTCCTCTGCAGGGCACTTTATACATGGCTCCTTGAATCCTGGCTATGACTGTGAACCCAAAACCTGGTGGGTGATTCCTATATTGCATACCCTACTCTTCTTTGCTGCTGTCCTGGGTGAAATTACAGTTAGAAGTTTAGCCAGAGCCAGACTAAGACCCCAGACTCCAACCTGGAGTTACTGGATAACTCTCACTGAAGCGTTCCCTCTGCAGCACTCTGTATGCGCCCAGCTCCTTCATCACCGAGCTAATTAAACTCACACTGTGGAATGCCATTTTGGGCAGTGCCTGCTGGGCACTGGAGGTCAGCAGAGGCTCAGTGGACACAACTGAGGCTTTAGAGCTGAGCAAATCCAAGTTTAGTCCTACCATGTCTCCCTAGCTGGGTCACCTTTGGCAAATTCTTGCTTTTAGAACCTCTGTTTCCTCACCTGCAAAATGGGCAGCAAAGTATTCCTCAAGAAGCCACTGTGAGGACTGGAAGATGGCGTGTGTCAATGCTTCCTGGAGCGCTGACCCACGTGGTGCCCATCAGTGCTCATCCTTCCCTCTTTCAGTTGCTCGTCAGCAAAACTCCAACCCAGACATCAGCAGCTCCTAGCCCTGCTTCACAGGAAAGTCAAGGGTCCCACTGAATGTCACCTGGCAAGCCGATGGTGGAGAGTGGACTAGATCTAGGTCTCTTCCCAGAGTCTCACCCCAAGCTCTTGCTATATGCTAATGTGCTCTCCAGGGCCAGGACTAGAACAAAGAATTGGCCCTCTCTTGTGGAGTTCACGCCTCAGGGTTA